AAACAGTGAGAAGAGGAGCGTGGCGAGCGGTGCCGGCGGGATGAAGGTCGGCGCCATGGTGCGGGGTGTGGGCGGCGGAGGGAGAAGCAGGATGAGGGGGAAGCAGGATGAGGGGGAAGCAGGATGAGGGGTAGCGGTGATCACGCAGAGATAATAAATCTCATAATAAATATAATTTGATCGATGTTACTTTTCGCTTTCCTGTGCCGCCACTGCACCTACGGTATCTACTACTTACTGTACCTACTACTTACTGTACGGGGGGGTACTTTGAAACATGCGCTAATTTAGTACATTCCGGATTGTGTCTACCTGTGGTAAAAGGGAGTGTCTCCTGGCCAGGGGGCACTCCCTTTTGTATAGCAGAGCCTCTGCTATAGTATGAGCAGAGTCTGCTCAGAAGAGCCTCTGCTATACAATACTGTAGTATCGGATGCGCGCATTACAGCGGATTGGGATTAGGGGATGCCACGTACAGACACGTGTCGTACGTGTTTTCTGAGGAGTCGTCGCTTCGTCGGCCGCCTGTGAATGCATACGTGCAGTGCAGGTATTGGACGCACAGTAGAGAGGTGTATCCGGTGAAGAGAAATGCAGAGCATGAATGTGTGCAATTGGGCACCCTCACGGCCCCTTCCGCAGCGTGGCGAACCGCCCCACTGGTTACCGAGGGGCGTGCACGCCACGTGGCGCGGCGGCCCCTCGTGCCACCCTGCCAGCCGGGCCTTCCGCAAGCCGAGACGCGGCACCGGTCCCATCCCATCGCCCATTCAAACCCCTCATTCACCGCCCACTTAATGTGTACCTTATCATATACCTTACATCTTTATTTACAACAGAGCTAAGACCCCATCCCATCGCGCATTCAAACCCCTCATTCAAAGCCGCCATTCAAAGCCGCCATTCAAAGCCGCCATTCAAACCCTCCCCGTCGCTCCCACCACCACCGCCGCCCGCCCTGTCTCCCCTTCCGCTGTCTCGCCCCTGCGCAGTTCCCCGCACACGTGTGCCCGCGCGCGCGTGTCCTTACACTTGCCCCCCGCGCCCCGGACCCGGCCTCCCCTTCCCAATTGCCGCGCCTCGCGATAGCCCCTCCCTAAAACCCCCCCTCCCCCCCCTCCCCCTTCGCGCCCCCCGATGCGTCCCGCCCTGCCGCCGCGCCACCGCCCCGCCATGCCGCGCCCGT